TAGTTTGAAGGCCTATTTGACCCTTTAACCATGTTTAAATAAAGCTCACCTTCAAAACCATTTACTTTTCTTCTTCACTTCCAGCGTGAGCACAATTTGGGACATTTCAATATTTTTTTAAACTCAATACTGTATTGTGATTGTTTCAGCCGTATATTTTGGTTTGATTTAGAATGAAACGCATTTGTTACTGCTTCATTTTGAAATGTGACAGTACCATATCATACTAATACTAAACGATTCACTTATTCGATGACTCAAATAGACACTAAAGTTAAGTATACATAGTTTTTAAGTTTAAAAAGATGTATGGGGACATCGGTATACTAACATAGATCTACAATCATTTTCTTTTGAGATTTTTTTAGTCATTAAAAATTAACCATTACCCATAGTATAAAAAACTCATAAAACTATTGTTTCGGGTATTTGTGTCACAACAAATCTTAAAACCTTAAACAATTTTTAAACAATGTTATAGAGTTTGTAATTGTTTTTAAATAAAATAAAATAATATAACAGCTACTCCCTTTTGTGTAGTAGCCAGCCATTCACAAATCACAATTACTAAACATGCAATAAGTAGCGTTAATGAAAGTAGCCTAATTCCCTTTAACGGATCTATCTTCCATTCTTCCCTCAATGTTGTCCGGTGGCAAAAATGTCGTGCTAACCTCCGCCCAAAGCTTGCTCCTTTTGTGTTTTTCCTTTTTCTTGCATCCAAACATTAAATTTCGACCGTTATAGTATTCCCTAATACTTAAACCCCTCTCTCTCCTCTTCACATTCTAGCAGAGCAGCCATGGCCGTAGCCCACTGGAAGAAAGCCATGAAGATCCTCTCCCTCTTCCACCGCGGCTTCAACTCCTCCAAATGGTTCTTTCGTACTTCTTTTCCTCTTAATCAAAAATTGATTTTCTTTTCCCTTTCCCCCCAAAATGACACTCAACAGTTTCTCGATAAAACCATGAACCTTCTTTCTAATTGTGAAATTTGTGTATATAAATTGAAATCCAGCAAGACAATGGCTAGGATGACGACGGCAAGGATAAAGCTGCTGAGGAACAAGAGGGAAGTGGTGGTGAGGCAGATGAGGAGAGACATTGCCATGCTTCTCGAGTCCCGTCAGGATGCCACAGCTCGAATCAGGGTACTTTTCTTTTTTCTTCCTGGATTAAAAAAGTTGTGTGCTTTATAGTTTGTGTTTTGTTGAATTATAGGATTGAAACCAGTTTTGCTAAACTTATTCCCTAATTCCATTTCTTTCAATTATTGGTAACCCTTGCTGCTTCCTAGTTAGCAATAGTAGAGGTAGATGTATGTATAATTACCGATTTTATTGGATGGTTTTTTTTAGGTGAGAGCTTTGGAGGCTAAATCTGTATTTTGAGATTTTTACAAATTGAATGTATAATATAGTAGGTGATCGATCATGTAACATTATACGGAGTATTCATTTTTGGAAACATTCTATCAGTGAAGGCTTAGGCCAAGACTTTCCAAGTCTTCGCCTACTGAACCCTCCATCCAAACAAGTCATAATGTGCAGTTCGTGCATGAAATGTAACATCACCTCAGTTAAATACTTAAATATGCTTATATTCTTGAAGGTAATGTGAGATTAATATATGGGTATGTAAGATTACTTGGTTGTGTTTGGTTGAGATTGTGAGGGTGTAATATTTATATGCCCCAAATCTAATAAAGCAATACCTTATTCAAAGGAAAACGGATATATTAAAAAGTAAGCTCACAATGCCTAAGAAACTGTATTTCCCCAACATTACTCTATTTTCCTATGTGGCATTAATTTGATACTACCTTGGTGGCCTATGGGTTCTGATATTCTTGATGCATTTCAGTGCACCAATGTGTTTTTAGTGGAAAGCATCATGATAATTGTTATACTGTAATTATTGATGCTATTTCCAACTCATGCACCTTTTTTATAGTTATTATGATGGTGTTGTAGGTTGAACATGTAATAAGAGAACAGAATATGTTGGCAGCAAATGAAATAATTGAGCTCTTCTGTGAACTTATTGTGTCGAGGCTTCCTATAATTGCAAAACAAAGGTGCCCCCTTTCCTTCATTAACATACAAACTCTTCGGTACATAGAAGTTTAATTTTGTGCCATCTAATTTGTGTAGTAACTTTTAATGTGGAATCCACATTATTCCAGAGAATGTCCTGCTGATCTGAAAGAGGGAATATCAAGTTTGATATTTGCAGCCCCACGGTGCTCTGAGATTCCTGAGCTTCAGGAAATCCGCAATATATTTGAGAAAAAATACGGGAAGGATTTTGTTTATGAAGCTGTTGATCTAAGACCGAATGCTGGTGTGAATCGGATGGTACACATTTATGTCTGTACTCATGTCACATTCAACAAATATTGGTTACACTCCATCCAGTCCTTTTCAAATGACACTATCCAAAATGGCATATTTCGGATGTTCTAATGTTTTTCTTACGAACTCAAGAAAATCAATTTTTTTCCTTGGGTTAGGTAGTTTCTTCGATTGTTCCTTATAATAGAGTCCAAATGGAGTAGCTTTGGGAGTAAATTAATTTGGATACTATGAAGCATGGAAACTAGTACGCCTTCGTTTCTAAAGCTCTGCATAAACTCTATGGACACTAAAGTTTTTTTCCCCTATTAAAAGAGGGTTTTTCCCGTTTCTTGTTTCCCCGTGACTCTCACGTTTTCGTGCAAAACCAGAGTGATCTTTTATGACCTTACTTGGTGTTCTTCTTTATTTGATTGACTGTTTTCTTTTTCAATATCCAAATAGAAAATGTTTTAAAGAATAAAACCATGATGGTGATACATGAAGAAGAATGTTATGTTTTTGTAATATTTAGGACAATAACTCCTAACTTCGTATCCATTTTCCCACTACAGCTCATTGAGAAGCTCTCTGTAAAAACCCCAAGTGGTGAGGTGAAAATGAAAATCATGAAGGAAATTGCAAAAGAATACCAAGTAGAATGGGACACCACAGAGTCTGAGGTTGAGCTACTCAAAGCACCAGAAGAGCATATAGTACGTTTCTTTTTATCTCCTATTTTCTTGATAGTTATTACATTTATTTGGCAATCCTTCCTCCATTAAGCTGTGTGAGCTCTATTCCTTCAGGGAGGGCCACAAACTTTTGTGAGTGCCACTAGCTTGCCTATTAAACAACCAGTTCTGGAGCCGTATGTTGTCCATCCTCCCAACAACAACCACACAACTGTGTAAGTTATTGGACCTTCATTAATCTTGTAGTTTTTTTTTGAACTTTTGAGTTTCTTTCATCAACATTACGTATAAAGCCCATGTAAGTCTGACACGGACAAGGAGTGGCTCCTGACAAAACTTTTAAGAAGGGGGGCTTGAATGAACTGATTTGTGCCCCTGAGGCTGCATGCATAGCAAAGAGATTTCATGGTTGTGTGATTTGAGACTTAACAATTGAGATTAGCTTGAAGGGTTTGATAGGACTTATTCGTATCAACAGGATGTTTATATTTTGAAACTTATTCCATAATTGCTTCAAAGTTAAGCATGCTTAACTTGGAGTCGCTTAAGAATAGGTGAGCCCTCAGAAGCTTAATTAGTGAGCATGTGAGCCCTTCAAGGCATGCTGAGGACCAAAGTGTTGGTGTATGTAGACGCTCGTCAAATTTGGTGTCAGAAGATGGTATCAGATTGTGGCTATATTTGGATCACACAATCATAAGAAAAGTAAAGAAAATTCTAAAAAACTTTCTCTCTTGTGCTTGAGCTTTTCTAAAAATAGAAACATAAATGAAATATAATTAGAAATTATAGTTTTTGTATATGTCTAGATTGCTCAGTATAATACGGAGTATGAATCAATGAATTAAAACTGAATGCAATCAATTAATGGAGTACTAAACAGTCTAAAAGTAAATTTATTGAGTTTGAATTGTTGTTTTAGTTTCCAGTTTTTGTTTACTTCCAAATTTCTCCATATATTCTTTCGCTGGAACTTTTCATGTTTCAAACGGATATTACATTTTGTTGGAAACAGAATCACAAGTAATGGTGGAGCGAAATATGAAGACCCTGAATCGGCAGCTAAAGCGGCAGCTGAATGTGCCAGGCAAGCTATAGCTGCAGCTGAAGCAGCGGCATACCTGACCAACGAAAAGCGAAGAGCATCTGGAGATTTTCAGCATCATGCAGACAGAGACATTCATGCTGAAAAAGTAATACTTCGGAGGCATAGCTGCAATTTTCCTAGCTGCAACTCAGATAAATCCGTCAAGTATGATGAATCTGACTATGATGAAGAGATTGAGATGGATGCTCAAGATGATGATGACACTTGTAGTAATTATGAATCGAGACAAATCGGTAGGAGGCAAAGCTGCAACCCTTGTAGAAAAGACGACTTGGGGCAATCAGCATTACCTCGGGTCCATCCGAAATTGCCTGACTATGAAACACTCGCTGCTCGTTTTGAATCTCTGAAGTACCAAAAGAATTGAAATGGTTGATTCTTTGCAGATCATAGCAATACGTCTAAATGGAATATGTTTCTATGCTCAATTTCTCCTGTTATTTTCTTCTGTTAGCTGTTATTTTCTTCTGTTAGTTCTGTATACTGATGGACTTTGTATTTCTTGCATTTATTTAGTAGTATTATTCAAAGTGGGAAGTAGATTCATTTAGGCAGTACATCAGATTGTTTGAGAAAATATCAATAATGAATGTAAAGGTTTTTTTTTTTTCAAATGTGGCGTTAGAAAAGATCTGTTTTTTTCCTACATCAGATTGTTTGAGAAAATATCAATAATGAATGTGATACTACGTCTTGCAAGAACGGAGTTGGAGAATAATACCAGAATTAGTAAAATTTCTTCAAACTTATTTCGGAATTTCACTCGTTCATTCACTTTAGGTAAAAATTTGGAAAGTTGTATTATCAATTTCCGAAAGAGCAACAAATTATCTGTAAACTAAGACAAAAATATTGGGGTTAATTAGTAAACCAAAAACTATCATCTTCACTAATAACCTGAACCGGAACCAAACAAGCCCTCAATAATGAGTACAATATGTCACCACATTAATTTGCAATGTGGGAAAAACTGAATCATGATTTCATGGGATACTGTAAGTCTGTAATCAATAATTTAGTTCAGCTAACAATGTTGTCTAGACTATAGATATGTCGTTTTAACCTCGTATCCTTATAGTAAAGTAACATTTGTCCAAACTTGTATCGTACGCTGCACTAAACTGTCCACTTTTCACCCGTAAACATTTTAATAATTAATTGAATTAGATGGTTGACAAACAAACACTAGTGTACATATACAACAGTCACACCATCAACGGTGAAAACTTCCAAACTGCCAAAAGCAACCGCAACTAACCATTTGCCAGATGCCAATGCTCAGCAGTTTCCTCGACTCCGGTCTTAAAATGCACAATAGATGCATGTCATGTCCTTCAAACGCTATACGCCTATACCTCTAACGGGCGGGCAGATGGGCCAAGTCATTAACAGCAACACCGGCAAGACATGACATCTGAGCAAGTATACGGCTTTGACTTCTCTTCTATTTCCATTGCCGTTGGCAGAGGTTCCATTCTGTACATCTCCCTGCTGCGGTCACAACAGAAGAAGAACACATTTCTACAAACCCCTCTACTAAAGGGAAACACTCTCTCAGGTATCCCCCTGCATAATGTACGATGTAAATCTGTCTTAGTTATTGCCTATTTCAAATGATTAGGACAAGGAAAAGATTAGGACAAACCTCAAGTATGGTATCCTTCGCCTTCGAACAAGCTCATAAGTTGTCTGGTTTGTTAAAACAAGGTAGCTGTTTCAAGAAACAAATGTGGGTTTTAATGAGTTATTCTGATCTAGCATTGAAATCCGCATTTGAGTGAAAAGTTGATGCTTAACTATAAGAGGGGGAGAAATAGACAGACAACAGATGAATAAAGATGTTTTCTTTTGGACGGAAATTTGCTGGTCTGGTTTGATCTGGGACTGAAAATGGTCCAAAAGAAAACATCCCAAGGCTTAGCTTTTATTTTGCTTAAAGGAGGCGCATGCAAAAATCTTTCCTTTAGAAAAAATTACTCCGTATAAATATTTGATTTTGATATATTTTATTAAGTATAACAAATATGATGTAGGCAAAGTTGATTTAGAGAAGGGGAAGAAGAAATTAAGGGAAAAAATATCTCCTCCGATATACCCCAGTCCAGGGTAATAGAATTGAGGAGTTTGGAGGATCTACAGCTCCTCTGTTTCCTCCCCTTCTCTCAAATGTGAAAATCCTTCAGACCAAACAAGTGCTTAGTGAAAGGATTATGCTAGTTGATAACAAAAGCACTGCACCAAAGAGGTTTTAACTTTGAACGAAGAAAAAGACTATTGAAAGGGCTGAAGGGCATATGAACTCTATATGAGTTCAGTAAATTGACAAACTAAAATGGTGATTAAAAATCTTAAATGGTGAACTTATACTAAAATGACACCTGAACTTTCAAATATCAAAAGATTTCTGAAAAAACATGAAATTCTTGTTTCGCTATTAAACAGTTCACTCTCTACAGTAGGTAAAATATATTAACTCCCTAAGGTAACATTTTAATATTCCTATCTCAAAGACTCATAATTCATACGTGTGCACCCCAAATAAAAACATAATCCATAGAATATGGACTTAAACTCGAATAACGTAGAAAGTCCACAAATTCAGTACCCAGTAACATTTTGATTTGATGCAAGACATTTCAAAAGCGAAATAGCATAATTGAATCATAAAATAAATACCTATGAAAAAGTAGTAGGAGAAGCAAGAATATAAAGAAGATTGACAAGAAAGCTAGCAATAGAATCACAATTGCATACGTCCACCTGGAAAAGGAAACATAACATTAGTTTTAGGTTAGTCAGCATTATAAAGCATATGTTCTTACTCCATGGCTTTTAACAATTTAAAAAGTTGGCTGGATACATTTTTTGTAACTGTGCAATGCAATTGCACCATGAGGTGTGCCTCAGCTATGTTTGGGCCTGAGGCATACGTAATATGGTGTACACAATGAGGCGCATAGAGGCGTACACAATTTTGGACCAGGGCTAAAGTGCAATATTTGGAGCCACTTAACAAAAAAGGGCCCAATATTAATCCTGACATGCACACCTCTCTTCTTAATCTGTGTATCGAATGAACTATATGATTCATACTTAAACCCCCATCTTTTCTCTAACTTTTTTCAATCTGCACTTTATCTTGTAAAAATAACCTCCTGCACTTGCTTCCTATTTAGAATCACTAGATAGTGATGATTCGATTTTTTTATTCATCAATCTAATAAACTTGAATTTTTAATATGCTAAGAATTTTGTTTTGATGAATGTATGAGACATTAATGCTATTATATACTCCCTCCATCCCACTATAATTGTCTCGTTTTTCCTTTTTCATCCATTCATTTCATTTCATTTTCATTTACCCCAGTGCCACAAAGGCTCCCACCTATGGTGGGGGTAAGGGGGGTCGGATGTATGCAATCTTACCCCTATACTAAAGCACAGAGAGACTGTTTCCGGATGACCCATAATGAAAATCGCGTCCAAAATTGAATGGACTGAATGTTGTTTCATAGTAAAGAAGCGCAGAGCCGTAGACAGTTTAGTGAGCCATTTTGCTTTATTCCATCATATTCTCAAGCCAAAAAACAATGAATCTTTGGCTCCATTGCAAATGATGGAAAAGTTTTTTTCTTTTTCATCCGTCCCACTAAATTTGTCTCGTATCATAATTGGTAATATATGTGTGGCTCTAATTCATTCTTACTTTATTCTCACTTTATCAATTCATTATCAACCACATAACTTTGCTTTTCTTGAAAACCGCACCACTCTCCTTTGTCCCAACTCTCAACCTTAGAGGGACGGAGGCAGTACTACGTAGTTTAAGCGTATTACTTTCCTAGAATGATGACCTCATTATTTTTTGTTGTAATATGCCATTTGCTGACTTTTAATGAAGATGTTATTTTATTTTATGTCTTATTGTATGTGTGTGTGTGTTTTACGTCTCATTACATAATGAGGCGTACACAATATGAAAGCTAAAATATCACCTCATATTGTACTAATCTCCCAAAATTTCCCCTATTAACACTACACACATTAAACACTTAAGTATTTTGAAAAATAAGATGCACTTCATGTTCAAAATGTTGAACTTTTATATGGGTGAAATACTGAGAGGTTTAGAACTATAGAAAATATTAACCCCCAGAGATGGTGTGCTTGCTTGTTTTTATATTTTTCTCCATCTTTTTCCTCCCAGCAACAATGAATACAAAGAAAAACACGTAAAAATGTAAAAATGTAACTTGAAGAGAGAAAGCACATACCATGCCTTTGATATACTAGATTTAAGGAACTGAATATATAAAATGCCAGTCCAGACGCACAAACTCGTCTCCTCAAATATGTACCACCTGAAATGATCAATTAATCATTTTAGCAAAACAAATATAATAGTGTGCAACTGAGCAAATAATAAATCACATTTGGAAACTTTTACGCACATATATATTCATCTAACAGTTTGAATCTTTAGAGAAAAATTACATAATGGGATAGTGGAGTTAGTGACTATCAACATAGTTGACAAATTATTGCATTGCTACAAGAATGCATGCTCACCAAAAACGGCAATGGTTTCCCTTCCCAATACATGTCCCAAGCCACGCACAATGATGATCGAACTCAAGAACACATTTGTCACAATCATGACAGTGTTTAGCTCGAGGAGGCTGCAGAGAAATTTTCAAGAAGGAAGAAAATCCCAATCATGAAACTATAGATAAAATGCCATGTATTTATACGTTATTAAACTAGTCAACTACATTTCAACATATGTTGACTTTTGTGTTACAACGTGCATTTAAACTTAAAAAGCATATTACGTTCACAATGCCATCAAACCCTGAATATTGATTTCTCTTTTAGAATGTGCATCTAAACTTAAGAATCACTAAACTGAACAGTGAATACTATAAGATTTCATTCCATATGCCAGCTCCAGGCATGCAAGGAAGATAATTAGAAGAGATTCTACCTGCAAAGTGTGACAGTAGGTACAAGTCCAAGTTCTGCAAACAAAAAAAATATCAAAGTCAGTTCATGCATCCACTCCTAATGTATGGACTCATGGGCTGTGAGTCTGTGACTAGCCACAGAGAATTTAGAACATGCATTATGTAGCTCTTCAACTATAGACATTACCCACCTTAAAGATGATCCGTGGGGATACAGATCCATGACTAGCTTTGTCCAAGGTGTTGCATTACCGCCTAGGAGATGTTTTTCTAACTGCTTCCTATCAATTGTAATAACTACACTGCCATTTTTGCTTGAAGCAGTTTGTCTTTGCTTGAACATGTAACATGACCATGATCAGAAGAATGACAAAAGTAAGATGTATAGATGGTCAAAGAAAACTGTGCTTTAAGCATCTATCATACATATCAGCAGAAGAATGACAACGATTTGATTATTTGACAGTGGAGATAATGCTCTCACATACCTACATCTTGTATTTACATAGGGTAAAACAATTTCCTTTGCTTATAAAAGAATCGCCCCCCACCCCATAAATTTTAAAAATGTTATTTCAAAGTGATCTTACTTTGAGATCCCTGATGTGCTATCACACAAGGCACCTGCCTCATCAACCGCCCTCATTGCGTCAATAACATACCTAGATTTCCAACAATAAAAGCAAATAATAAGCCCCTGAATCAAAATCGTATGGTACCTAAAGAAAAGAGTACAATAATACAAAAGTCTAAAATTACCCGGGAGATGAAGAAGAAGTGATGAAATATTGAACCACAGTGGCAATGAGCAACAGCATGTATAATGCAATGTACCTGGAAGGAGAAAGTAACATGGCCCGTTTCTAATTTTATACGGAGTAATACAAAAGTTAAAAGATGTATATAAAATGTTACACGCGAAACAGTGATGAAGATATGAGACAGTTGGGTAAAACAACCATTACTCCATTAGCCTCCCATATCAACCATTACCAGTTAGAATAGTTAAAGCATCCGCTAGAAGAGTTAAACCAACTACGCAGTAGCGAAAAGCAAATCCAACAACTTAATATTGCTTTTGTCATTAGAAATTACACATCCCATTTCAAATTTTGAGCTACTTTTAGAGATAAATTCATTATCATCAATTAACAAGTTCATAGCTTTTAATGTATCGTTATGGTAACACTATCTTGATTTTGACAAACAACTAAACTCAAACTAGCCAAACAATTATTAATACTTTTCACAAATACCAGCGCAAAAGATATGAACAATTACCAGGGTTCTACTCGGGTTGTCTCAAGTAACTCTCTGTTGAACACCAATATAAAGCCCACGTATACCACGTGCAGCAGCACCAGAATTAACTGCAAGCAGAATGTTGATCTCCGAGCTGAAAAGTTTCAAAACACAATTCAATCAATCCAGTAACACACCTCCACGCGTAATACAAAGATAAACGAGATTGAATGACGGAGAACGAGCTGTACATACCAGGATCAGATAAGCAGGGCACGAAGCGAGTACAGCGGTCGGAGAAGCGGTCCCACGTGTCGCGGTAGAAGTTATTGCAGCATGCCCCCATTGTTATTAATCGTCCACTCACTCGAAGCGGCAGGCGACTCTCAGAGCCCCATCTCAGTTTTCGATTTAATAGAGACTTGGATGTTGCAGGAGATGAATGAGCAGAGAGGATATATTGAACAAAATAGAGGGAAAACAATGGAGAGGGAGGGTAATTCAATTGGAGCTTGATTCCTCGTCACGCCTCCTTGCCAGATCCGGAAGAACTAGGCTGTGGTCTGAGTCAACTCGTCCCTGCCGCCCGTGTTTCATGCCGTTTGATAATTGGACAAGAGTGGGTAAGAACCAAAGGTAACCCAGTTCTATAAGCTGTGTTATTCGTTTAGAAAAAAATGGACTGTTTTCTTTTGTTGCGTCATAGTCTTCTCCGCCATTTCAGATTAAAAATTGCAGTTTTCATGTCCTTTTATTTAGGGTTCTAATTATTATTGTGAGGAACAAGACAACGTGTATTTTTTTTATGTTACGGATTTATTGTGTATATTTCTTAGCCTGCATATATGTTTATGTTTATGGATCATGAAGAGATGTTTTACTTTTTATACATGTCCCGTTAAAATTGATCAAATTTGATTTGCATCTGAAATTAAAAGTAAGGGAGTAATAATTCTGATTATATAGATGAAAGGGAAATAATTTCAATAACATACTTATATTAGTTTAAACGGAAATGATAATATTTATTAAGATAGTTAAATAAGAAAAGTTGATAAAATTTTGTGAGATTTAAGAAATAAAAAATATGTCAATTTGTTCACTATCGGGTGTTTCATATTACAATGTCATTAAAAACAATATCTGTTAGAATAAAAACTATTACTCCCTCTGTTCCGCTATTAACTTCTTACTTTGACCTACACATATTTAGGAAAAAAAATTGACTTTACTGTTTAGACACTGTTTGGCATTGTTTTGCATTGTTTGACACTGTTTTGATGCAGGATAACTTTCTAGTTAGGGAAATGAGAAGATGATTTTGAGACGGCCCAAAAAGGAAAGCAGGAAGTTAATAGCGGGACGGAGGGAGTATGTTGTTGCAAGAATTTGTTTGAAACTGAGTTCTGGGTGCAAGTGCACAATGTTCCGTATAGCTTTATGAATATAGGTACTGCTTGAAGAGTAGGAAACTATATTGGGGAGTTTATTAGGTTTGATGAGAGCCGCTTTAAGGAAAATTGGGAGTTTTATTTAAGAATTAGAATGAAATTGGATGTGAGGAAGCCTATAAAGAAGGGTTCCTCACAAAGGGTTTGAAAAAAACGAAGATTGGTGAAGGCTACGCTGAAATACTAATGTTGTAAACTAATCATGAATGCTTTTGGATATGCTTTTGATATGAGTATTGTTATGAGTGTGTTTTGGGGAATGACTATTGCTGTTGTTAGTTTTGTAAACTCATCATGAGTGTTTTTGGATATGCTTTTGTTATGGCTACTATGAGAGTGTGTTTTGACGAATGACTACTTCTATTGTTGTCGCTATTCATTTATTATGACTATTGATTTTGTAATCTCATAATGAGAGCTTTTAGAAAGTTAATCATTCTACATTAATGCATTACTTTGTTAAGAATGTTTTTCCCGCTCAAGTATCGATACACTCTCAACCGCAAGATTTATTTCGATCAAATCGACGACTCAAGATTTGTTAAACTTTTTCCAGGATGACACTCTCTTTTTATGCTTCATCGGCATTTTACTTCGTTCAAAAAACTCCATTTTCATATATGACTACTTCTCACATCAATACTTCGTTTGGCCTCTTTTACCTTCAACTTTTGGAGTTCAGAACCCACAACCTGGATTTCATTCTTTGAGGTCGGAGTTCAGTTCATTACCCGATTTCCCTCTTAGTGAATCCGGCCAAGTGCGTAACATGTTAAACTTACTAGGTATTTTGATCCCATATCCATTTCCACTATTTCACTCATCTCTTTCATATTGAAAACGCTGAGGTTGATGTCACATTTGGGGGGGGGGGGGGGGGTCAGCCAATACACCGTGGCTCCACGACAATGGAAATCTTATCTTGGTTTCTTTCAATTAATCAAATTTTATATAGAGCTTTAGATCATTTAATTTGCAACTACGACCTTGCGTGGAAATAAGGAATTAACCTTGTAGATTGAAAGTTTTGCTTTGAATAAAAAGGTCTTGATATACTTGACTGTGGTATTATTTAATTTTTATTTAACAAGTACTAAATAAATAAAAAATTATTACAATACTAGTGGCATATGCACTGTGTGCGACTGATACCCAACAAATTAGTATTGAAAATGCTATATTACTTGAATATGATACAATTAGGCAAGTAAAAGAACTATAATATATCATCAAGAATAAGGATCAAATGGATCACTAAGGTTGTACATGAATGTCATATTGATTTCTAAGTTTGAAAATAGAACCTTAAACGTTTTATGAACATTTTCTAATACCTATTGAAAGGTGTCCAACTGGATTTTGTGACATAAGATTTAAAGTTTTCATCATGTATAAGTTGTCTTTTCTTCTTTATGGAAATTGTGTATGTTTCGTCAATAGCTAGGTTCTTAGTAGCTTTCATCAAGATGCAATGGAAATGGTGAAGACAAATAAAGTAAATAGAAATGTTTTATTGATCTTTACTGTGAATTAAGATGCAATGGTTCGACCGCGACAGTGAAGCACTTGGTTTTGACTTTGTCATTAATTATCCCCAGTTAATAAAGTCACAAGCAACATTCATTTCAATTAAAACTAGCAACTTGAATACTTTATACATGAATAAAGTTATCCCTAGAACACCAGATATGTCAAAAAGTTTAGCACTAAGTAAACATGGCATTAGATAAATTAATAGATAGGTTAATTTATAGTACGTTAGGAAAAGTGTAAACAAACACGAAGTTTACCCTTTTGTAGTAATTATATGCTTGTAACCACAATGCAAACACTAAAATTGAACTCCTTCGCTGATTTTTTTATTGCAACCGTGGCAACCAATGTAATAAGAAACAGTTCCAAAGTCAATTAAGTTGAAATTGTCTTCAAGCCAAAAAATTACCCTATATAATCCAAAGTAAGATAGAAATTATGCTTTGAATTGTCAAGCTACAAAATCAAGGAAGAAAAAAACCGGGTCTTGTTTACTACGTAGTATTAAATTTAGAAGCTGACCTTATCTTTCGAAAAACTTTTTTTTTTCTGGAACAACCTATCAAATACAAATTAAACGTGATGTCGATTATACTAACTTTAGAATTAATTGAAGTGATTTAATCTTCATTTTTGCAATATATTCAAAAACACATTATTTTCAAAATGTCATTTGCACAAATGAGAATGATATTGTAATGGATTTGGCTATCTATAATGTCTAATTTGTCCTGAGTGATATCCCATAATTTATTAATGGTATGAAGTCATAGAAAAGGACATAATTCTTAAAATGTTTAGGTATAATTCACATTGTTGGATTAAATATTTTCACTTAGATGACAATAATTGTAAGATGTTTAAGAGTCTGATATGACCTTTAATAGCGCCATATATAAATAGAATTCCATTTTTTACAATATCAATATATGTTGCGAAAGTTGGTTATGTGAAGAAGAGGTCGTTCGACAACGTCTATAAGTGCAAGATTAATATTAGACAAAAGGATATGTAAGTCTACAAATATCAATTACTACAATATTTCGAAACAGAAATAATGCATTGTTAAATAACAAAAAAAGATGAACACATAGCAGATTATAGATGCCTCATAGTTCAATACGTAGTGCATGATGAGGTGTGATTTATTATATTACAAGCCTATTAAATGTGTCTGAGTTCAATAAAAAATTGTTTTCAGGTCAACTTTATGAATACCAAAAAGCAGAAAAATGTGTGTGTTTTTTCACTTTATTTTCTCACTTTAATCAAATATACTCTAGTAGAAAAACTTTATGGATACCATTAAGTAGAATTAGATTTTTTTATTACTTCTTGACTGAGGTATGTGTATTTTTCGCTTTATTTTCTCAAATCATTCAAATATACTTTCATGTTTCTAGAGCTCAAACATTTTCATCACTCTGTGTTTTAGTGATCAAAATGTGATTCATCCGGATCACCTCCTATGTCGGTTTTTGTAACATAGATAAAAAGATGGAGGTGCAAACTTTAAAAAGAGAAGTTGAAGCATTTACAATAGAAGAATTTACCATACTATAATTAAAACATACTGAATTTCCTTATACCCGTATTTGATAGATAAAATAATACGTTCCGCCCAATTACTGATTTAAAGTTTGTTATCAAAATGTCTTTCATTTCCCTTAATGATTTAAAACTATAAAAAGTCATTACATTCCGCACAATTACTTATCTGCCACATTTACTTACACAGCATATCATCATTTATCTCACTACCCGCCATAATAGAGTAGTAGACTCTCTTCTCTCCGCCATCAGTATTATTACACTACCCCATGTTTCCAACAATTGTTCCTCAATTCCAATCATTTCTTTTCTTCATTGCTCATATCAATAAGTGGTATGTGCCACAATCAAACATAATGAATACCATTTTTTCTTATTTCCGCATTTGGTCATATGAATACTTTTGATTACACCATGTGTTACACCCTATTTATTTATCCTGCACACAGACACAAAACGTATAAATACATACACTTTTTGACAAAATTTGTATGTCTGAATAAATTTTTTCTATAAACATGTCTGCGCATAGAAAAAAATTATGTGCACAAACACCACTAAAAGTGTATACATAAATAAGTGATAATAAATGAATACAAATATGTTGATACGCTGATATGCAAATACGAGTACGGTAATATGGCATCTTTGAAAATTATAGGATACTGGTACAAAGCTATATTTATAAAAACTAATAGTATAGGGTATAATTTGCAAATATATTTAAGGGAAAACTGTCAAATTAGCCCTCGTACTATATCATAAAAGTTAATTAGGCCCCCCAACTAAAAAACATCCAATTAAGTCCACGAACT